GAAGAAAATGCTATCCAGAAGTTGCCCTGGTCGAGCCAATCTCCTGACATGAACCCCATCGAAAACCTCTGGGCCATACTCGACCAGCAAGTCAAGAAACAACCAAAAAAACCAACTTCGAAGAGCGATCTACTCCAAGTTTTGAAGCAAGAGTGGGCGAAAATCCCACAATCTAAAACTGATGAGATGATTCTCACGATGCCCCAAAGGACCAACGAACTCCACTAAGCGAAAGGAAGATCTACTAGATATTAATTAAATTATAAATATATCAATTCATGTGAATATGACTGAAAAATTTCATTTTGGCTGAAAAGGTGGTGTCTATTTACTTGTGACCACGCTGTGTACTTAGTTTGTACTTTTATTTTTCAATGTTAATGTACTTCGTTTGTACTTTTATTTTGTTAATATGAACAAAAAATGTTAAAGAGATAAAATACATTATTTCCACAGGAAATATAAATAAGAGACTGGAATAGTAGACGAGATTTATTTCACCTAGCGTTCGGGAAGTGCTATTTGATTAAAATTAACGGTCTCGGTCATTTAATTGTACAAATCTTTGGATTTATTCTGCAAACAAAACAAAAGCTTATTTAAATAATTACTTTTTGTGATATAAAAATCACGTTCCTTCTCATTTACATTTTGACGAGATTGGTATACAGTTAAGCTTTCAGTGTGTGTGAAATGTGTTTTCAAAGATTATAACTTACAACGTATTCCATTGCTTCATCCATAACTTTCTCATCTCTTTCTTTACTATCGTACATATTCCTCTCGAATCGATGGTCTTCTTCGCCTGACATAAAAATAAAAATGTTTTAGATTAACAAAAATGTTTCAGTAGATTTGTCTGTTCGTTGCTAGCACAAAGCTTCACAATGGGCTGTATGTGCTCTACCCATCGCGAGTATCGAAACTAGGTTTTTAGCATTATTACCCCTAAAACTTACCGCCGAGTTATCGTTGGGCGTTTCAGAAGAGAAATATTAATTAGTCATATTACAGACGTTTCATCGTAATATTTGTTATTGTGAATTTTGTTCGAAACCTTAAAACCGATCAAAGATAAGCAGTCTTCTATTACTGGTGAAATATTGATTAAATCCCAGTTAACCCTTACTAAATGATATATTCTGACAACAAATTTTATATAGAGATTATTACTTTATGATTTTGAATATTACCGTTTTTTAAGAATCGTCTCTGACTTTTATTTGCAGTTAATTTAAACGAGTACAAGGTCAAAAGATACAATGTGAAAATATATTATTTTATATAATTAGCCCAAGACTCCTGTCTCGCGGAGAGCAATTACGCGATTGGTCCTGTTTGTTAATCAGGGGCGGCGTTTGCCTCTTCTCACTGGGAGGGCTGAGTTAGGGTAGACAATAAATTGAGGGGTCTGTACTCTATATCTTTAGAGTGCACATGCTTCAGTATTTAGGAAGTATTTAACATCAAGCATTGTTCGTGAGGAAGGCTGAGGCACAATTTGGGGTAGCTTCAGCCCCAGCAAGCCCCCTTTACCGCAAAGAATGTTGACTATTGATGTGGCTTTCAAGATTAATTATTCTTAGAAGTTATCATTTCCCCCAATAATATAAAAAAGGATGTTTTAAAACATACTGTAAACCAATATGTGACTTAACACATGAATAATGAACATCGTTATGTGCAACCATTTAATTTTCATGTACTTTACAACAAAGACATGGAAATATTAGTCAATTTTTATATAAAAAAACTCATTTTAAAGAACTTATAAAACCCTCTGAAGAAGCTTGTATTTTACAGACTTTCAGGCGAGCATTAGTTGGATTATTATCAAATTTTCATTCGTCAGAGTGCTTAGGTTTAGCTTATTGCACTTGATTTTATTTTAAAGGATATATTCACTATAGTTCTTTAAGCTTTGACTTACTTGAGATTTCCGCTGTAATTGGAACAGATGATTTCTTAAAGCTGCTTGTAGCTCCCTCTTGTTTATTGTTATGAAAGTCACACGTCAGTCCATTATGTTGCTTTTCCATTCGATAAAACTGTTTAACGAAACAGTGTAAATATACAAATATTTTTTCTTGTACTGCAAATAAACCTAGCAGACTTACCTTACATATACACAAGAATTACTGAACCAGAGACTTACTTTAGTCGTTGTTATAGAAAAAATAAATAAATTGTGATTTTGATAATATACGTTAACTCTCAGCCGATCTTTGTTTGAAAAAAAAAAAAACATGATTAAAGCAAAGTCTCTTACAGCTAAATGTCTGCAAACGAGAAACAATAATCTCTGCTGAGGTTAATGTTCATTGCATCACATTTACTATATAAGAGATGAAAGGCTTGCAACAAAAAACGTTCATGAATTAATAGCGAAGGAACAGGGAAGAAAACGTGTGTATAGCTAAGTATTTTTTGGAAGAAACAGACATGAATTTATTTTTACTCACAAGAACACAGGCACTAACATGCTTATATAGAATATGCTCACTTGTTTGGATTGTTCTTTGAGTTTCTTCATGTTTGACAAAAATTCCTCAACAGATGGATGTGGCCTTCCAGAATCCGGAACGCTACTTGATGAAAGATATATTTATTTTTAAATTACAGGTAAGAGTAGTTAACATGAAGAAACCTTGACATTACCCTACGTTTTAAACGCAAACTCTCTGTATAATGCTTCGTTTGACTTTAATGTATTTAAAATATCTATATAAATATTGTTACGATAGCGGGGTCAAGTGACGCTAGTAACACGTCATATTCTCGAAGGTTCGTGAATCCTCGAGTGTTTACTAGATTTGCGGTATTCTTGTATATATAAGACTGCCAAGAAGTGACGGCAATAATGTAATGGAATTGCAGACAGAGATCGGACGACAATTGAGCCAAGCGCGTGAATCG